ACAATAGAAAGTGTTGCATCTGGAATGTAGTGTGTGCCAAATAAATGCTGTGGTTAGCGAGGCTGGAGGGATGAGCAGGTGGGTGGGCCGGGGGGATGCATTCATGGATGGATGGATGGATGGATGGATCAGTATGTAGATGGACTGATGGATACAGGAATGCATGAGTGGATGGGTGGGTGGATGGATGGATGAATACATGGATGGATCCAGAGATAAGTAGACGGATGCATGCATGGGTGGATGGATCGACAGATGGATAGCTCAGTGGGTGGATGGATGGATGGATGGATGGATGGATGGATGGATGGATAGATCAGTGGGTGGATGGATGGATGGATGGATAGATCAGTGGGTGGATGGATGGATGGCCACATGGTGGGTGCATGCATACAGATGTATGCATTGATGAATGTGAATCATGATAGCTACTGCCCTTTGCAAGTCTGCCTGCCTGTACTCAGCAACCTCATCCTGGCTTCCAAGCCTGGGGTCTCTCCTCAGCCCTCTTAGGTCAAGCCCTCCCAAAGATGTAGATTTTACTTTCACAAAATCAAGGATGATTCACCATCTGAAAAGTGTCAAGTGCCTAACATAAAGCAGGACCCCACAACTGCAGCAGTGAAGCTCTCAACTAGAAGCATGGGTTGAACCCCAAGGCTACGGAAACTTCTCAGAGGGCACCAGGAATATGCAGGGAGCTGGTTCATGGGCAGCACATGACATTGGCTGTCCATGCTATCACAGGTGAAGCCAAGAATGCCCACTCCACAGTCCCCAGCCTCCCTGCACTGCGGCATGCAACCCACTTCCAACCAATAGGGAGGAAGGAGGCCCGAGTTTCCTCCTAGGTGATGGAAGACACAAGGCCATCCCTGCTGCTCCTTCCTGTTTGTGAAGACCCCATGTGAGGAGGCCCCACCTCACCTGGGGGTGAGGAGATGGAAAGAGCCTGTGTGGAGTCCCCCAGCCCCAGCTCACGGACAGTGGGAGTGGATCTGAGGAGCAGGTCTGTTGTTCCACGAGGAAGACATCTGGAGCTGCGAGGTTCCCCATGGGTCAGCTCAGCGGCTGGATGTCACTGAAGACCCTGCTGTCACCCTCAGTGCGCTTACAGTGGGACAGCGGCTCCATCTCCTTCCTCACCATGCCAGGGACAGGAAGCAGGAAGCCCTCCCTTGAGCTGTGTGCTTTTCAATAGTCAGCAGTGCTTTCCCACCCCCGGATCTCCCCCTTTGGGTTTAACTGACTAGAAAGACACTCTAACCCTGTCGTCCCACAACAATCACAGGCAAAGGGGACGATACCACCACGAAGGGAAGACGCCCCCCAGCCACGGAGCCCCCCACCCCCCCGCACCCAGCAGAAAGGCGGAGGTGCCCACGCAGAAGAAAAAGACCTCGCTGAGGTCACATTATCAAGGACGCCGGGAGGGAGCAGGAGGCTGAGGAGACACCAGCGCGGCCACACAGGCAGCTGGATGGGGGAGTCAGTCCACAGCAGCTGCTCAGTCCTGCACCAGTTCTGTGGCTTCTCACACTGTGCACCGATGAGGACAGCAGGTGCCTCGGGACCTGATGCCACAGAACCAGAGAGCCTGCACTTCAAGTCTCTCTCCGTCTTCCTGAATCCATGCAAGATTTTGAAAAAGGACTTCACCCATACTCACATATCATTAATATCTTTTTATAATTCCTGTTCTGTCACAGTAATGAGATAAAAAGGAAGATCTGAGATCAGTCTGTCTCAGCTTTTTGTCACTGGGGTGAAATATCTGACACATGCGACGTAAGGAAGGAAGGGTTCGCTTTGGCTACCGGCTTTAGGCTTGGCCGCCCGAGCACCAGGGCATGGTGGGGAGGAACTGCTCACCTCCCAGGCCAGAAGCAGAGATGAGGAGGGGCCGGAGAGGGGCTGGTCCTCTGAAGGCACAGCCCAGTGACCCACCTCCCCCAGCAGGCCCGAGTCCGAGCAGCACACGCAGCACCGCCCCACAATGCCACCCTTCCAAGGCCCCGTCTCAGAGCACATGAGGCTTCTGGGAGATATTTTAGACCCAAATCACAAGTCATCCACAGACAGGGACAACCAGCTCACATTTAAGAATACTGTTTTGCTTGCACTGCCTTTGGGGATATATTTAAATTTATCTTCATGTTTATACCCAAGAGACTGGTTTCCTGTCTAAACTAATTATAGAAAGCTTTATCTAAAAATATGAATAAATTTGAAAGCTAGAAAAATATTCACATACATAAATATATGTGAAATTAAGATTATAGAAAAAATTAGCTCCGTTCATGAATTAATGTTCGAAGTTTAGGAAACATTGGCCAAATCCTTAAGGCATCTACATGGGCCTCGGATAAAGATTTCAAACATGTTCCAGCAGTCACCAGCGCCTCAGAGGTCCCTCAGACAGAGCTGGAGCTCACCAGCTCCCCAGTCCCCCCGGTTCTTGCCATTCTCAGTCCATGTGCCTTCCGCCATGTGATACATAAACACAGGCCCGCTGGACCAGCATGAGTGTGCTTCCTCCCCACGCCCCAGTCACGCCATACACAGCTGAGCAATCACAGAACTCCCTGAGGGAGCCGGAAAGGCCTCTGACTCCATGAAAATGCTGTGTCCCAAGAAGGGCCTCACAGAGCTGGCTGGAATCTGGCCAGGGGCCTGTCAAGCCCTTGAGGACCTGGAACTCGTCTGCCGCATTGACAGCATCGATCATTCGTCACTGATAACGCCACCTCCCTCTGACCCAGCACAAGGCTTGACGTTCCGCAGGCGTCCGTCCGTTTGTGCTGCTCCAGCAGAATACCTGAGACTGGACAGTTCGTGAAGAACAGAAATGCATTTCCTCCTAGCTCTGGACACCAGGAAACCCAAGACCAGGTGCTGTAGGATCCATGTCTGGAGAGGGCCTGGCTCTCATTCACAAGATGGCGGCTGTGGCTGCATCTGCGGAAGCCCAAACCCCTGCATCCTCACTTGGAAGGAAGGGTGCAAAGGCAAAAGCGCCTGCACTCACTGCCTCCAGCCCTTCCTAAGCACTGGTCCTTCTGGAGCACACAGCCCCCACGACTTCCACTTCCTGGTTACATTTCCACCTGAGCCCCAAGGGCACAAGGACCTTCACAGGTGTGTGCGGGATCAACCAAACAATCCGAGCGAATGACTAAAAGATGCCCCAGGACAGACCTGATATTCCAGCATGGTAGAGGAAGCCCCATGGCACCCTGCGTGGCCTCCCCTGTGCCCTCCAGGCAGCCACACCCGCCTGCCAGTCTCCGGCTGGCTCTGCACTTAGCCTTCACGAACTCTGCCTAACAACTCCGAGCCTCTCCTCACGGTGAACCACGAGACTCAGGGACTCAGGCCACACCACCCCACCAGCCCACCTCACAGCTTCCAGCCCATGGTAACTGACATGGGCACAAAGAAACATCCCCAAGTGAAGGTCAGCCAAGGGCAGCCGCTGAAGTTTGCAGAAACACAGAGCCGAGCACACGACAGGACTAAGCCGGCGTTCCCAGGGAAGGGAGACAAGGTGCTGGGGGCGGAAGTGGGGACGGGGTGGGGTGACGCAGCTCTGTCCGTGGGGCTCTGCACCAGACGGGAGGAACAGCAGCCCACTGGGGAGAGGCGACTGAGGCAGCAAAGTGGTTTGGCCGACCTGTGTGTGCACCTCAGGCCACATGCCTGATCCCTGGCTCTCCCTATTCACGCAGGGCCACCAGCAGCTCCTCTCCCACTTCCGTCTGGCCCTGCTACGGCACCTGACCCTGTGCTTCCAATAAAACTTTATTTACAAAGACAGGCAGCAGGCTAGACCTGGCCTGTGGGCTGCACGCGGTCCAGGCCCCTGTTCTGGCGCCAGCATCCTGGCAGGTAAACACAAGGCATTTCCCAGCTCCTCTAGAAATTGGAGCCTGCCTTTGAAAGACAGCGCAGTGCACCCATTAAATTCCACCCCTGCAGGCATCGGCAGGCTGCAGAAGCTGTGGGGAAACAACAGGGAGCCAAGTGGTCCAGACTCCCAGTGAAGGGGCTGCCAGGCGCCGCTCACCTCAGGCAGAAGGGCGGGACGGGACTGCAGGAGCACCTCATCTCCCCCAAGCACACAGCCGTCCACTCTGTCCCTTCACAGGTGCTTTTCTGTCAAGCCATAGCTGCCACCAAACCAAAATACGGATCACTGCTGATGGGGAGGATCTCTCCCTTGGACTAATCTTAAAAAACGAGATGGCCCTGGACCCCTGGGATAAAGCACGGGTGTCACTCGGGCCCTCGACAGATGCCCACGGTGCCTCGCGCTGTTACGAGTGCTGGGAAGACCAGCAGCTGCCTCGCGGCTGTCTGCTCTGGGCAGGAAGAGGGAAAGAATGAACTCAAACATCGGCCTCATTAGGTCTGGGCATCTCATCCTGACTTGGTTCTCAAGTGTGGTGATTGTAAATCGAGTTCCACCCAAGCCAGAGGGAGGGAATCCAACCACCCCCGGGGCCGGGAAACAAACCACAGGCAGGTCAGTGGGCTCTGGGACCCAGCTCTTTGGGTCCATCCGGCCACATTTTAAGGTTTGCCCATCCTGGGGCCACCTGGGGACTCTCGGGGCAGAGCCGAGTGACAAGGATCTGGTTCCTCAGTGCAGGAGCTGCTGTGCTCACCACACAGCCCAGCACGTTTCAGTGAGGCCCCTTCCCAGAGCACGGCGTCGGTCCTGGTACACAGATGGGGACGATGAGGGCCGAGGGCTCCCGGGAAACCATCAGCAGCATCCACACACAGGAAGGGACACGCACAGCAGACTCTAAGTGATTTCAAGGGAGGCATCAGGGAAAGCAGGTGAATTAAACATAATTTAAGTGTATTTTCCTTAGCTAAACCATGTGCATCAAATGCATGAGAAATAACAGACTCTACACTGTTTCACATTTCTTTGAGAAACAAAAGTATTCAAAGAAAAACATCTCCGCCTTTCTGAAGCCCCAGTTTCTCACCCTTACGAGAGGGACGATGCCCACGAAGGTCGTCCGGCTGACGAAGATCTCGGAGACCACCAGCTCACTCGTGGAGTCCTCGGCGGGGTACTCGACCTGCCAGGTGATCTGCTGGGCCCCGGCCAGGCCACTGCTGTTGTCCATTCCAAAGTCCACTTGCAGGATCTCGTAGAAGGAGCCGTTGGGTCTGGAAGAGGCACCAAAGTTCAGGACGTCAACCACGCGGTAAACCCCACCCTCCCGCCTGCTGGCAGCACCTCTCGGTCGTAGCACCCACAATGTCCCGGCCTGCAGAGCCCACACCGCAGCCCAGCGCCACACACAGAGAGGCCCAGACACTTCCGCCAGCCAGCATCGCCCATCGCCAGGCCCCTCCGCAGCCGGCTGTTCCTGCTCCCTCTTGGCTGGGCGTTCATGGGCCAGCAACTCAGACTCTGAAGCTTTAGAGTTTCTGCAGAACGGGGTGACTTTGTGTGCCTCAGGTAGCGGTGTGAGCCCTGCGGTGAGGAAGGACCCCAGAAATTTTGAGGACTGTTACACAAACCTAGCAGAAGAGGGGGGTCACACGTGGTTCTCCCTCTCCTAAGCCCCAAGTGGGATGGGATGCAGGTCAGAAAGTCCCACCTGCCTGGCTCCATGGCTTCCCTCACTGTGTGTGTCTGGGGGAGACAGAGACCAGCTCGCTCATCCTGGACTGTGAAGCTGTCCAGGCTTAAGTGGGCAGAGGACCCCCTTCCTGCCTCTGCGGCCTGTTCAAGGCCTGCACTCTGGAAAGCGTTTCTGAGACGGCATTTGCTGTCTGCAGGGGTCCTTCTCCAGTGGCGTCTCCTGCTGTGGACAGCCCCTCAAAGACAGCAAGTGGGGAGCCCAACGCTGCACGCTTCCCTGCTTGGCCAAGGGGTGCCGGGGCAACACCCAGATGTAACAGAGGTGTTGACAGAACTAAACTGCACTGATCTGACGTAAGAGAAACTCTACTCCAAATCGGACATCTGCCTACACCCAGGGCTGGACGTGGTCGACCCCTTCCCCCATGTGGGAAAGGCTTTGAGACTCTCTCAGACATTGTGCTATCAGCTACCGCAGCCAACAGCCACGAGGGGCTGTTTACCTTCTGAGGAAATTCATTTAAAAATAAAGAAACTTTAAAATCGGATCCTCAGTCCCACAGCCTCATCTCCCATGCTCAGTGGCCACACGTGGCTGGGGGCCACCATGTTAGACAGCGCAGCAGAGAGCGGCTGGTTTGCTTTATACCCTGGGCAGGCATTTATTTATGCTGCTCCTGCCTTAGTTTCCCCTCCAGAAAACTGAGCGAGTGGCACCAAGGCCTGATTACCCACACTCAGCGGTCATGAGGATGGAAGAGGGAATGCACGGCACTCACTTTGGGCAGTGCTATGAGTCCATTCTGTGATGTCTCCAAGACCCATGGAGACACAGCTCTGGTCCCGGGGTACAGAGCAGCAGCCGGGCTTTGGGCAGTGGGGAGGGCCTGAGTCAGGGGGGCGGCCCCCCGAACCATGGTGCTTCCTCTCCTCTCTGACTTCCCAGCCCATGCTTAGACTGAGCTCAGGGCGTGCCCAGGCCAGGCAGTGCGTGGAACAGCAGTTTATTACCCAGGGTCATCTCTAGGTTTAAGGTTTTGCTGTTGTTGTTTTCTAATTTTCCACAAAGCACAGGAAGGAAATCTTATTTCAGGCAGCTGGCAGGCTTGCCAATCAGACATTTCTATGGAAATGGGTTCAGAGCTATTAATTTTACCTGCTCCTGATCTGCTCCAGATAAACCTTTCAAATTTAGAAAAGTGCTTTGTGATTATCTTAATTTAATAATTACAATTGCCTTGGAGGAATCAGGATTGATGTTTCAGCCACGAGATATCCATTAGTCCTATTTTCTGAAGGGGGAGACGTGCGTGTGTGTGTGCGTGTGTGTGCGTGTGTGCTGAGAGGGGTCAGGTGTGCAGCCCTCATGCCAAAGCATGCACCCTCCTTCCACACAGTGCGGAAACCCTGTTTCCCATGGAAACTTCACCTGTAACGAAGGCTGCCCCGCCCCCCCCGGGCCCTGGGGACCACTGAGGCAGGGCTGAGAAGGGTTCTGAGCACACAGGGTAGCTTCAGCTCACACGTGTCAGTAAAAAGGAAGAGGAGAGACTGGGGACCCAGCCCCCTGCTTGTGCCCTGCAGCTCATAACCAGGGACCCAGTCCAGTCGTTTGTGGGCAGTGAGGGCCCTGATAGTCATTTTACAGGAGGGAGTCGGGGAGAAGGAAAGCCGGGCAGAAGAGGCACTGCCAGCCCACACCAGCTCCAGCGAGCTGTGCCGCCTCTGTCCCCACAAACGCCCAGACAGTTCTCAGCCCCCAAGCTGACACGGTAACACCCTCATCTCCCCAGATGCGTTTTCCTAGAAGTAGAACAAGACAGGGCATCTCTGGTCTTGGGTTTACTTTTCCAAATGTGTTGTTTTCTGGGTGTTAATATGAAAAATGACCAAACACAAGGTGAACAGTGATGGCATGGGACGGACGCCCCAGGGCCGGACTGCAGGTGACTCACAAGCCCCAGTCTGGGCTCCTCCCCTGGCTGTGACAAAAGTGTGCTGTGTCCTCACTGCCCTGATGGCAGAGCCAGGAGGTGCTCAGTGGGGTTTGCTTAATTCCTCACCTGGCCCTCAGAGCCGGGAGGAGCTGGGCAACACCCGGCAGGGTCTTCTGCCCACTGAGGGACAAAGAGCCCACCAGCAGGTCGCCTTGAGCGTGTCCTCCCGCCTGGCAGCCTGCTCACAGGACACACCTCAGTCTCGACTGCGAGGGCGTCCGCACTCCAGAGTCCCCAGGGCGCCTGAACTGCTTCCCGTGCCCACTGTGTTCCACACTCATTCTGTGTTAGGCCTGGAAGGTTCTCAGGTGTGGAAAACAGACGGGGCCCCCTTCTGGCCAGGCAGGTAAATAAATAAACGAGAGCTGAGTCTGCATAATGACAAATACTATTTCCACAGTAAAACAAAAGAAATCGATTTGCTTTTAAAAGTTAACTTTCTCAAGTATTAAAAAAATTATAATTTGGGTGAAGGGAGGGCAGAGGTAAGGGGAAAAAATGAGAATCAAGACTTGTCATGTAGAGGTACAAGATCCCAACAATGAATGTAACTGTACTGTATCCCTAAAATGTACCAATAAACTCAATTAAAGCTGAAAACAAAATTATAATTTATAAATAGCCATTTTTAATTTTAAAATAGGTGAATCACAACAGGAGACAAGGAGAGGGCGCTAGGGAAACGCCAACTGTACTGTCCCTAAAATGTACCAATAAACTCAATTAAAGCTGAAAACAAAATTATAATTTATAAATAGCCATTTTTAATTTTAAAATAGGTGAATCACAACAGGAGACAAGGAGAGGGCGCTAGGGAAACGCCTCAGAAGGGAGCTGACATTTGCGCCAAGACCTGCAGGCTGGGTGGAAGGCGGGCGGTTCCTCGGCCAATATTTGTTGAATAAATGAGAAATCTATTTTAAGACAAAAAAATCATGGGAAAAACGTGTCAGAAACCGTCAGCATGGACACGGGTGCTGAGTAGAAGGGACACCTTCAGGTCCTTGTCCAATGCCACCTGTCCGGGATGCCGTCCTGGCGCCCCGGGCGTGGTCTCCACCCGCTGTTCTGCCCCGTCCTTCTGGGCATCTCCTCGTACCCTGTTAGTGACTGTCGTGTCGACTGTCACACACCTGCACGCGTACACATACAAGTGCAAGGGAAGCAGCACATGCTGCCCACTTTGCACAATGACGTGTCCCAAGGAACCATAGGGCCGTGCGGCATCGGGAGGAAGCCGGTGACCTGGGCTGGCAGCCAGGACAGGCTTCCTCCGGGAGGCCGGGCAGGGCTGGTGTCGAGGAACGCACTATAACAGGCGGCCACACGGCCCACTGTCCGAGGTCCCCCCACACCTCTCCCACCCCCACACAGAGACCCAGTAGGAGCACGGCCCGTGTCCGCCCCTCTGCTGTCACGGCGGGTTCCCCACGACCCCACTGCCGGCGCTCGGGGCCTGGTGTGAACAAATCACCTCCTTCGGCACTTTCGCCAGCCGCACGCCAGCTCCCACGTCCATCACCGCGGCCATTGTTTCCTTTCTCCCTGTGTGGTTCTGGTCGACAAGTCAGGCAGGGATCAACAGCTAGAGTCTAAACTAGATCAGGACTTCGGCTCTTCCAGGGTCCCGAACACTCTCTCCTTATCAGTTTGATTGATTTCCTGACTTCCTGTCACTGGAGTGCTATACTGAACTCTCCTTTATAAAAATGCTAAGACTGCACCACTGGGGGAAGGGGCTCCTCTGCTGTATTTTTGGAAGGCTGGGAAAGCCAGGCAGGACGCTCAAAGGCTGTACATGGTCAGAGGTTGAACCCAGGGCCTGTCATACTGAGCTATATCCCCACCCCTTTTTTTATTTTTTATTTTGAGACACAGTCTCACTAAGTCACTAAGCTGCCCAGGCTAGGCTTGAATTTAGGATCATCCTGCCTCAGCCTCCCAAAGTGCCGAGGTTACTAGTGTACACCACCATGCCCAGACAGTAGTTAACATTTTCAAAAGAGGACAGTATACACACCTGTACACACACAACAATGAATGTCCGGCTTCCCCAGAGAGCGGAGGGCCAGGCGACACTGCCCCATGTTCCGATGAGCCAGGGTTGAGGCCCCTCAGCAGGCCTGGGCCACTCCCCTCACACACTGGGCCCCCGCAGCCCGAGACCTCTGAGAGGACCCTCTGGGTTCACCCCTCTGCAGACACCTCAGGAGCTGCGTCCCGGCTCACCCAGGATCCCTCACCCGCCTGAGCAGGCGTCTGCTGTGTCCGCCCTCCAGGCTTCCGGGGCAGCACACGGCCTGGACGTACCCAAGACCCAGTGTGTGCCACAGGCTCAGCTTGGCACTGAACGCCAACCCGAGGTGGGAGGGGACACTTCCTCTGACTGCACAGCACTAGCTGGGAACCCCCACACTCAACCTGGGCTGCTTTTCCAATGAGAAACATGAAGGCTACACAGCCACTCCCTGACCCCTTCCCTCAGGCCAACTAAACACGGCAAAGACAGATGTGAGAGAAAAGATAGGGCAGAATGGCTCCCAAAACCTCTGCGGCACTCCTACGCCCCAGTCCAGTCACTG